TACAGGTGCCGTAGTTGAAGAGACATTGTGCATTTCTACTTCTACTCTATCCTTTTACTGCCTGTCCTGCCTTAGACATGGTCATACTGTATACTACGTATAATGACTGAAATAACACAGATAGAAATGACAAAATAATCCGATAAGCCCTGAACAAGAGGAGCCTGTAGAGAATCTAAGGAGCTGTTCTTGGCAAAACAAAATGTGTTTGGCACAACAGTGGATCCAGATCATTCCACCCCCAATCAAAGGACTTCCTCTCTACACAGACTACACAAACAACCATCACTACTCTGTAAGAGTGAATTTACGTGCGATCACCTACACTGTAAATATATAACAATATTGTTTTATATGTATACATTTGATATTGAAGCTGTTCAGATGTTTATGGTGCCACAGAACTGTGCACCTTACCCCCGTTTTTTCCACAGTTGCTCTAAATTTCATTGTACGTGTGTAGTGACAATAAAAAGCATTCAGATCTATAATTCTGATTGCAAAAGCTGTTATATAGGACAGGATTAAAAAGCAAACAAACAAACAAACAAAAAGAAACAGCGTGAGACGCCCATGACACTTTTAGTCATTTTGAAGGTATTAAAGCATATTTGTGACCACAAGCTTTGATCTGTAGATATTTCTAAGTTCAGCTGATCGGGATTAAATCTTTCCTGCATAAAAGATTTAAAATGTCGATATTCAAGAAACCTGTTGTTGCCGATTCCATATTTTAAAATGTGTTCCTGATAAAGTTGAATAACATGTTCTAGATTTCTTTTATCCACTCCTGATGCCATGACAGAATGTTTTTTGGTTCATTTTACTCATAAATATTTGGATTGTTCCAAATGGGTTTACAGGAGATAACTGAAGACAGAACAGAGGGTTTATGTTAAGCCATAAATCAATTATGATGCTTGATACTGTTCTGTTCTATTCTAGGCCCAGCCATGGGATGTATAAGCAGCTTGAGTTAATCTTTCTGAAACATAAAAACTTGGTCGCTCTCGACCACCACTGTGTTTAGACTTTTCAAACTTCTTTGTGATGGTTTATTTTTCCATAAATATTTTGGGATCTTTGAGTCTAGTAACTTAAACCAGGCAGTGGAGGGTTTGTACGGGATCAGTGAGAGACAGTATTTTATTTTCATTTTAATTGTGGTAACTTTTCATATGCTTCAATTTTAAATACGATGAACCTGTCTCTATGAATGGGATACGTATTACAAGCCTTTAAGGTGGCAGTAATTAAACAATTACTTAAAAAGTGACCACTTCACCCAGCTTTTACTGATTTAACCGAACATCTGCAGAGGAATGGTCTATTTAAAGAATTTCAGTTAAGTTTCATCGTGGAATTGAAACTGCTTTAGTGACGGTTCCTCGAGTAGACTCAGCTTTGTCCTGCTGGACCTCAGTGCAGCATTCAAAACTGCAGATAAAAGCATGCCAAAGATGTTAAATGTGCTGCAATGGTCTGAATTTCATCTAAATGGACTGATTCTTCTACTTCATCTGAGCACTCGAAGCGCTTTACACAACCAGCCCTTCAGTTTTTTTGCCCTGTAAGTTCTTTCAGGCATATTTGTTATGCAGACTGGATGAGATGGGGAATCACCAACCTTCCAATTAGTAGGTGACCTGCTCTACCACCTGAGCTGCGGCTGGTTGTAGCTCAGGTGGTAGAGCTTTAAACTCCACATAATACATTCAAATGTGTTCACGTAAACAGCGAGTCTTCTTCACACATACAGGTTTATTATTGCATTCCACAGAGTTCTATGCTAATACCAGTTTTATCTACAATATATATGCTTCCCTTTGGCAGTGTTAATTAAAAGGCATAGCATAGCATTTAATTCTTTTGCAAATAATATCGATCTTATCGATCCGTGAAGTCAGATATGTCATGGTCCTGGGTGTTTCACAGGACAACACCATTAGTTAAACTTAAGACAAAGACCTGGATGACCTCTGATTTCCTGCTTCTAAATTCAGATAAAACTCAGGTTATTGTAAATGGACTGGTTCTTATATAGCGCTTTTCCACTCTTCTGAGCACTCAAAGTGCTTTACACAACTTGTGCATTCACCCATTCACACAAGCACAACTGACATTCACACTCCGATGAACGCATCGGAGAGCAATTTCGGGTTAGTATCTTGCCCAAAGATATTTGGCATGCAGACTAGGGGAAGCCGGGAATCGAACCACCAACCTTCCGATCAGTAGACGACCTGCTCTACCACCTGAGCTACAGCCACTCGGTGTCTAACTAGATACTCTGTCATTCAATGCACACGTTAAACAAATATGCAGGACTGCTTTCTGGCATTTGTTCAAGCTCACTAAAATTAGAAACGTGTCCTCTCACAGTGAAGCTGAAAAATTCATTTACGCATTTATTACTTCTAGGCTAGACTATTGTAATTCATTATTAAATAAAAACTCCCCGAAAGCTTTCGACTGATTCAAAAAGCTGCAGTAAGAACCAACAGGGATTATAAAGACAGAGCATATATCTCTTATATTGGCTCCCTGTTAAATCCAGAATTATCTCTGCATTTAAAGGTCTTGAAGAATCAGGCTCTATCTTACCTTAAGGACCTCAGTGTGCACTATTTATAAAGTTATTGGATGGTGAATAACACCTTAGGTCCTCCCATCTAAAGTTACCATTGTGTTTATAATGACAGGCTAATATACTCTCTACATAAGGATTCATATAAGTCACAGTAATTCTCTTGGAATTTGTTCTTTTCCAACAGATGTTGAAAATGATAAAGTCCCACAAACTGTTTGTATATCAAACAACACAAAGTCCAAACCCCGTCTGAGATTTGGCTTTACAGCCCTGTGTCTGTCCTTCCACATTATACGTTGTAATGGTAATCGCCTTTATGGGTCTGGCACAGAAACGCCGCCTTCAAAGAAACCGGACTGCATGATTTTTTTCAAATAAAAGCGTCAGACATTTTCAAAAGGAACTTTATGTTCATTTTAACCAGAAAGTTTGGGTCAAGGCTTGCAAAACACATTGTGGAAAAAAACAAAACAATGAGAACTGATATCCAAAAATGTGTCCAAAATACAACCTTTCCTTTGTGGTTACTTTTCCAATACAAAACAGATGCATTAGCCTACCTGTGCATCAAAGGTCTGTAAATAAGGGCTCCGCCCTGCTCTGCACAAACACAGAGAAAGCAATCTCACCATGGAACAGGGCCTTTTCTGTCAAGGCCAGTATAATATTTCACCATTTTAAAGAAAGAAATCTTTCTTCCTTTGTCGTTGGAGATATTTGTTATTTAGGTTACTTAGAATCCACTGTGAATAAACAAACACCAAACAACCTCAACAAATGATTTGTCCAGATTTTAAGGTGTTACTCTGACTGGTTTCAGGAAGAAGGCAGAGCCTCACAAACCGACAAATATTCAATTCAATTTTATTTATACAGCAGCAAATCACAACAGCAGTCGCCTCAAGGCGCTTTATATTGTAAGGTAGACCCTGCAATAATACTGATTCAATGCAGAGAGGTCTGTTAACACATAGTGAGCGAGAAAGGTGACTGGAAAGGAAAAACTCAATGCATCATGGGATTCCCCCAGCAGCCTATGCCTATTGCAGCATAGTTATGCTGCAAACTATATACTTATACACATACTTCACTCTGAGCTGAAAATGCATAAACCAATTCACAAGTTGCACATTTTGTAAATCTGCATCGTTTGAATCTCTCTGCTTTTCCAGAGGAATAAAGGAGGAAAAATGTTAATATTAACGGAAATAAAGTTTGTCAGAGGTGATTAAAGTGCTATAACACCTTCTTCCTTCAGGTCTATAGGTGCAAACCTTAGAACGTGTACAACAGATTCAGTTTAGTTCAAACTGTGAACGTATATTACAATGGTCTACTACTAATGAATGAAACTTTTCTTTCAGCCTTTTGCCTTTAGTAGATAGTGTAGTAGTGGAGAGTGGACGATGAAATGGGAGAAAGACACACAGCAAAGGACTTAAGCTTGGACTCAAACCTGCTGACCTGTGAGCTGTTGCCCATGACCCACACTTTTAACACGTGTCCCAGGATTGCCTGCAAAAGATGGTTTTATGCAATTGTAAGAATGTTTATTTGTTCAAGGTATCATTTACTCTTATTTGGATTTAGCTGTTGTTCGAGCTTCTGATTTCCAATCTGCTTCGACAGTAGTTCTTCTACTACCACATTTCAAAATCTTCCTTCCATGCGTTTACCTTATTGTGAACTCTCTTATGGACAGGAGCAGTTGATTGCAGACTTTCTTTGCAATCAAAGTTTTTCTTATTTCTGTTTTATTTACTTTTTTATTTAGTTAGTATTGATTATTTCTTGTTTAAAATATCTAAAATGTTGCCAGCATCAACAGTCCGTTTTCCTTGGCTTCTCTATGCTCCAACCTTCTCTTCACCTTTCTCTTCTATGACTGATTGTTGTATATGGAAACCCCTCCCTCCCTGTCCTGGTTTTGCGGGAGGTTTCTTCCTATGAAACGAGAGTTCTTCCTCCCTACCGTTGCCCAAAGCTTGCTCATAGGGACTTGTGTGATTGATGGTGCTTTCTCGCTAATATTGTGGCGTCTGGTCGTTATATATCTATATTTGTTTTAAAGGACAACAGAAAGGAGCCACAACATTTTATGTTGTACCACAAAGGCACCACTACCTTTGTGACTGGGAGGCCTGGGCTAGTTTCCTGTGTTTTTAACACAGGGTGGAGAGGTAAACACAGGAACATGTGTGTGTGTGTGTGTGTGTGTGTGTGTGTGGTGTGTGCACTTGAAACATACACTTATGCTTGAAAGTGTGTGTGTGTATTGTTGTTAGCTTGTGTGTGGAGGGGGGGGGGGGGGGCTAAAGATGGCAGCTGGTCCTAAAAGCAGCCCTCTGCTCTGTCATTTAAATATTTTAAAGACATACATTTGCACGCCAGCCCAAGGCCTCCATCCTACCTCCATATCTGGCCCAGCTGCATGATGTGAATGACGGACTGGCCGAACCACACACAGAAGGAGTAGTAGGCCGAGCGTTTCCTATTCCTGTTTCCCAGCGCTGTGCTCGCCGTGCTGTTAGTGGTGGGGTTCTTGCTGGCGGTCGACGCCTGCCTCTGCGGCGTGGCCGGGTGGTGTTGAGCAGTAACATCACCGTGTGAGGCCGAGCCGCTAAGCAATTTATTCCCATCCATGAGGGAGCAATCGGTGACAGAATCGGCACCGTCCTCGGTGCTGAAGTCGTGGACGAACCATCTGAAGCTAAAGAGCTGGACCGAGAAGGAACCCAACACAACGAAAAAGAGCGTCGGGCCGAACCACCAATAATCGTGGCGGAGGTAGTAGTCGACCGACAGCCACACGTCGGTGCCCACATCGGCCAAATAAACGGCCACGGCGGCTACGATCCACAAGCAGTCCCACACCGTATATTTCTGCTGCCCTTTTCCCAGACGAAGGCACGTCGAGTTTGAGCCTCCCCCACCGCAGCACCGCGACTCCCCGTTGGCAAAATCCCCGTCCCCGGTGCCCGCAGAGTCCAGCTGGCCGCCCGGGTGGAGTCCCTGCACCGAGCCAGAGTGCTCCGAGTTTTGCAGAGGGGTGAAGGCCACGTCGCTCTTCTTCATCTTCAGGACCCCGTCCGATTTAGCAGCCATTATCAGTATCTTGATGTATTAGCTAGTCTATTTCCCCCCGTTGCTCCCCGCCTTTGCTCCTCTGCTCCTGCCTCTCTCCGTCGACACCCTTGTGCGTGTGTCTCCTACTCCTCCTCCTCCTTTCTGGGCAGGACTAGCTCGTCCACACTGTCGTCTGGTCATAATACAGAATGAAGACAAAAGTGAAGAGCGATCGAAGCCCCGTGCTTGGTCCGGTATTTTCGTCCATATCAGATTTGGACTGGCCCTATGCTTCGAGGATCATTCGCTCACATACAGCGCACACGAGGACGTTTCCGCTGTGTGTCCTTCTAAACGGCTTCCGTTTCCAGCGCTTGTAAGTCACCGGAGCTGAGGCTGATGTTTGGGATGGAGATGGAAGCAGGAGCTAAGCGACAGGAGGACGGCTGCAGCCATCTGCTTGGCACAGACTAAAAACTATGACATCATCTCCCCCAACCCCCTCGACTCTCCCTCTCTTTGCTGTTTTCCGTCTCTCGGCAGTTTGCTTATCATTTGAGCGCTGTTACAATACAAAGACTCTCCTAAATCAGCCATGAAGAGCAAACATGTCCCTCTCAGTGTAACTAAAAGCATGCAGCTGATATGTGAACCAGGATAGAAACATCCGGAGGCCTGAACACGGTTTCAGCACCATGGACAGATCCAGCTGTTAACTCAGCAGCATCTGCAGGACGTTGCGGTCCATGCTCTTACGGGAGGTTTGCCTCCCACTCAAACCTTCCACATACTGTGGCAACAAAGTGGGAAGAACACAAGGACATTAACTACTCTGAGAAATATGGACAGGGCAAAGCAAATGTTTTCGTTTACATGGAGAGTTCTCACTGACCTACTAAGGAGAAAGCACTGTAAGGGCAACATTTCATCTTTTAATCTCTTGCTCCTTACCAGTTGTTAAAAAGGTAGCCTAAAATAAAAATAATGCATATAAGGAAGACTTAAAGTACACTTTGACTAATGAGCCAGTGTCACATAAAAGGCACTTGATTTTCATATACAGCATTCAAAGTCTGGTGTGGTAATTCCTATGAAACACCATAATTAAGAATACAATAAATATGTGTCAGTGCTCAATCTAAAAGAAATATCCCATGGTCACTGAGTGGAGGTGCTTGTGGGTCATGGAGTCACTGCTGAGTGATATTTTACAATGAAACATCAAACATCATGTTTATCTTACTCAAATCTTCTTCTTTCTTTTTTTTTTTTTTAAAGCTAACCATGCTTACATTGAACAGAGTATGCACTTAGCCCTTGTAGACAGTCATAGCTACACTGTGTATAGTGCAGGTGTAGTGCTGCTGACCTCAGCTGAGGATGTTGTCGGGCGGTGGAAGGAATACTTTGAGGACCTGCTTAATCCCACTGACTCATCTTCTGAAGCAGGACGAGGGGATAAGGGGGCGGCTCATTCGTCACTGGGGGTGTTGTCACTGAGGCAGTTAAACCAGGCTGTTGCTGGTTGACATTCCTCTACAATGTAGCATGGATATCTAGGGTGGTACCTCTGGATTTGCAGACTGGGGATGTGGTTCTCATCTTCAAGAAGGAGGACTGAAGGGTGTGCTCCAACTATAGGGGAATCACATTCCTCAGCCTCTCCAGGAAAGTCTATAGCAGGGTACAGGAGGGTGAGTCTGTCTGTTGGTCAAACCTAGGATTCAGGAGAAACAACGTGGTATTTGTCCTGGTTGTGAAACACAGGACCAGCTCTTTATCCACTCTAAGATATTTGGGAGTTTGCCCAACCAGTCTACATGTCAGAGAATTCTACTGGAAGTACTTCAGCAGTATGGGGTGTTCGGCCTGTTGCTACAAGCCATTGCATTTTTATTCAACTGTTGCAAGAGCTTGGTTCACATTGTCAGCAATAAGTTTCGCTCCATCAGGGCTGCCCTTTGTCACTATTTCAGTTCATTTTTATTGAAGAGAACAGAATTTGTACTTTTAGCCAAGTGGGAAAAGGCTTCTACTTGGATCATCTCAGACTCTCATCTCTGCTTTTCACAGATCGTGTGTTTCTGTTGGCTTCATTAGGTGGTGGCCTCCAGCTCACACTGGAGTGGTTCACAGCTAAACGTGAAGTGGCAGGAATGAGAATCAGCACCTCCAAGTTTGAGGCCACGGTCCTCATCCAGAGTGGAGTGCTCACACCAGGTCAAGGATGAGTTGCTGCCCCAAGTGGAGGAGTTTAAATATCTTGAGGTCTTATTCACGAGTGAGGAGAGAGGGGAGCAGGAGATCGACAGATTTATCGGTGCTTAGCTGCAGTGATGCAGACTCTGTACCAGCCCATCGTAATGAAGAGGGAGCTGAACGTACAAGCATAGCTCTTGATTTACCAGTCGAGCTATGTTCCTACCCTCACCTATGGTAGTGACCGAAAGAACGAAATTGCAGACACAAACAGCGTAAATGAGCTTTCTCCAAAGGGTGGCTGGCCTCTCCCTTAGGGCGAGGAGTTCAACCATCTGAAAGGGGCTCAGAGTAGAGCTGCTACTCCTCCAAATTGAAAGGTGGCAGCTGAGATGGTCCGGGCATCTGATAAGGATGGCCCCTTGGTGAGGTGTTCCCAATGGGAGGAGGCCTCGGGTCAGAGAACGGCTTGATGTTCCCCCAGACATGAGGTCTGGGCTTCTGTGCTTAGGCTGCCGTTCCTCTAATCGCCCCCGGATAAGCGAAAGAAAATGGATGGATAGTCATAAGAAATGCAATTCACAGTAGTAGTTTTAAAAAGTATTGTATGCTTACAATACAATAAAATACATATACAATCTCCTCAGTTACAATAAAAGTAGATATCACTGCCACTGGCTCCAGGTCAGTGCTAGAGAGCACCGCCTTCAGTCCTCTGAGTGACTCGTCAAGTTTCAGGAAGTTACCCACGCGCTAACTTCAAAATCAAAAGTTGAAGATAATCCTTTTAGTTTGATGAAACATTGTTACTGTTAACTAATATGAGAGTAGAAGCATTCAAACAATCATGACTGTTTATCAAGCCAGGATTGGAAATTTAAGGTGTAGAAAGAGCTAAAAACGGCAGTATTTGTTTTTCTGCTTTGAAAGATTAAATTAAATGTTTTCTATGTTTATGATTGTTTATCATCACAGAAATTGTTTTCCTGCTCTATTTACATTATACATGCTTCCCTTAGGCAATATCATTAAAAGGCATAGCATACATTTTCATTGCTATGCAGGTGACACCCAGCTTTATGTGTCCATGAAGCCAGATGTCTCTTCAGTATCACATGGAAGTTGGTCACAATGCCTGTGACCGGACTGGCAGATAAGTGTGGTGGTACCCCTTCTCAAGAAAGGGGACTGGAGCATGTGCTCTGATTTCCGAGGGCTCTCACTTTTCAGCCTTCTTGGAGGGGCTATGCCAGGGTGCAGCAGAGGGTTCCATTTGTTAGTTGCACCTCAGATTCAGCAGAAGCGATGTGGTTTCTGTTCTGGTTGTGGCCTTATCAGGCAGTGACCTCCAGCTTGCACTAGACTGGTTTGCAGGCAAGTGTGAAGCACCCAGGATGGGAATCAGGAGGTCCAACCACTGTTATCAGCTAGAAAGAGTGAAGTGCCCATTCCAGGTTGTTGATGCGTTGTTTCCCCGAGTGGAAGATGTTAGAGAATTGTGAATCAATATGATTGTCATCGTGCAAGATGATTAGGTCTTTAGCATGAATGCTCACCTGTTTCCTACACAGACACACATACACATATCACATCACATGCTCATAGACACACACACAACAGATGTTCACATGTGAGTGTTTTATCTGTTGCATGATTAATGAGATGATTGTGTGACCACCGAGTTAATAAAAGAGCTGCGAGAGGAGGCCGGAGTTTGGAGTTGTCTGGGATCAGGTGAGGAGCTCGCAGCTCCAAGACCCTGGTCCGATCGGCTCCCCTTGCAAGTTAAAATGGATCGCGCTCTGTCTTGCTTTGTTCACGGGAATAAGTCTCTGAGTCAGCGAGGTCTACAAGTATAGACCTAACAGAAGAGTTTAAGTATCTTGGGGATGTGAGAGCAGAGCGTGAGATTGACAGATGGAGTGAGATGGATGCTGTTCTAGCCTGTTGTGAGCATGAAAGTGAAACTGTCAATTTACTGGTTGATCTATGTTCCTACCCTCAACTGTGGAGTAGGAACATAACTGAAATAATCGTGGCTGTTATTAAGTTGGTTAGGAGCTCTGGGTAGTAACTGAAAGAATGAGACTGAAATACAAGAGGTGCAAATGAGCTTCTTTCGACGGGTGAGGTAGTAGGCTCTCCCTTAATGATGGGGTGAGGAACTCGGTTATAAAGGAGGGGCTCAGAGTAGAGCTTCCACTCCTCCACATCAAAATGTTGTGAAAAGTTTTCTTAACCCTGCGTCCTATGTCATAGTGAGAGTTTCAGTGAATGACTACCAAATGCTAGTACTCCAGCCTAACATCATATATGCAAGACCTAGAAATGCTGGAGCCTTCTTTGGACAAAGAACCACTCAACGGTCCTGGACGCTGCATCTTGGGTCTAGCACAGAGCTCGTACCCTATATTCTCAATGGTATGGGATTGTATTGATGACATACGACACACACATGTTACAGAACATGTTTTTAGCATGAATGAAAATGATAACGATTCTTCTGATCACTGTTTCCGAACTGGATTTGTTGTAAAATCACATAAATATAGGCTCTGCATAATTTGCAGATTGTCAAATTTTATTTCCATTCACGGCAATATTTAATACGGTTCCTCGAATGTCCTGTTTAGAGTCATGTCTGTGACTGTTGCTACGCACCACATCATATTGTATATGTTGTATGGTTCATCTGCTTCGTGTGTAGATTAACCAGATGATCAGCATAAACATTACCAAACTGTATAAAAAGGGTATCAGTCATGTTATGAATGTTTTATTAGACACAGTACATGACACAGAATACACTTTCACAGGGACTTATGTTCTTGCTTATTACAAACGGTAGCTTTTAAACTCTCAGTATGTTATTCATTTGGTCAAACCATTATCTGTCTGTCAAGTGTAAGCATTCTGATTTTTACATGCAACCTACCACTCTCAAATGGCCAGTAAAAACAAAGTTGTGGAAATGTAGCATTTTATAAGAAAGGAAATAAAAGATGAATTTTTATGTATCAATAGAACTTGTTTACTTTCTGCAGTAACAGCCTTTGCAAAACAACCTGTGGATTCTGAGTTTACAATCCTTCATTTGTTTTCATCCCTGCAGAGTGGACAACTTTTATTCTCTTGGCTCTTAACTTACTTAAGATTAATTAGGTTAACTTACTTAATCACTAAGTAAGCTCTTATGTGAGCTTACGTAGTGATGCAAGCACTTATAATTTCAATAAGATGTTAATTTGCTCCAATCAAATCCAATGTTACAGTCAAACTGATTTCAATACATCTTTCAATAAACTTTGGTAACGTAGTAAAACAAAAAAAATATATCGCTACCTTAGTGATTCATTTGCTGCTGAAGCCAATTGAAAATAAAAGTATTTGCCCTTGTATTCACATCTGTGTATTATATAAGTAAGGCTACGTCTCACAGCTGGGGAGTGAAACAGCGAGTTTGAGAAAAGAGGAAAGTTTTGTTTTATTTGGTTGGCACAATAAAAAGATCCAGCCGAAATACT